TCATAAATTAAGAAAAAAAGTAGAAAACGAAATAATTTTCATGTAAAGATAACCTCTCAAATTGAGTTCCAGCTTGTTTACAACTATACTGATGCAAATAAGCAGCTAATAGCGTCTATTACGATTGTGTCTTTTTATACCATTATACTTTTCATACCATCGATATGCAAAGCAATCGATAACAATAGGCCTAATAAATCAATCGATAAATAATTTCGATCTATACAATTGTCAAAATTGAAATTTACAACTATTTACAACACCTGATTTTTACTCGGTAGGGACTAAAAATGATTTTTACTCCCTAGAGAGTAAAACCGCTTCTTTAGACCCGCAACGAATGAATTAAAAAAGCTGTTTTTGCTGTAGTATGACGAAAAATGATTTTCACTCCCTAGAGATTAAAAATACTACTTTAGACCAGCAACGCATGCATTGAAAGTGGCTGTTTTTGCTGTTTTTGCAATAACGAAAATAGATTTGTATATACAGTAGATGTTAAAATTACGTAATTTTCGGCCAATCAGCTGCAACGGCCTGGCAAAAGAACAAGAGGTCGAATCACCCGTTTTTAGAATAGTTAATTTAGTGATGTAATTAACGCAGAATGAATGATTTATTTATCAAATGCATAATCAGAATCTCATCTCTCGAACGGTGCCACTTTTGCAACAGTTTTGTTGTAATTTATGACTATATAGTGGCATATAGGTTTCATAAAACTTTCATAATATCTACTGAAACGCCATCCCACACTTGAAATTCAAATTCGTTGCTGTATGCCAGATCTAGGTTGATAATGACGGCTCTTGGAGGCCTAGCCTGAAGTAATTTGTGATTTGTAAAAAGCTTTCGACCTTGATTGAACCTAGTGTAATACAATGTGTGGTAGGATATAAAAAGTGTAGTGTCCATTAGAGGGAGAGGACCTTTAAAATTATACTTTAAAGTCAACCTCCTCAAGTGCTACCGAACTTATAATTAATTAAGCAATTAAAGCCGTTTAACAACTAATGTGGCCCGATGACCGAGACATGACAGCGCAGGGCTGACGAGTCGAGCTGGGCTTATCTTGTTTTACGAGTCATTATGGTAATTTAATAGCAGATATTAGGTTACAACGCAACGTGCTTTAGTTAGCTCGTGTTAAAAGAAAATGATCGAGGTTAAAACATGGTAAAAATAATCGCAGCGCATTAGTGACTTTCTGGCCCGACCCTTGAGGAGGCCCACAGCCTATCGACAAAAACTTTGTAGAACTGTTGATATAGTAAGTACAAAGTACACGTAACAAGAACAACTACACTCGGAAGATAAATTGAAACATATAAACCACCAACATTTTTTTCTGTTCAATAATTTAGTTGGTCTAACTTGACCCTTAAAAAAACAAAAGGGCATGTATAACGTGTTTGACATGTCTAAAAAAATCATTTCATTGATAATATCCCCTTCTCTCACCAAACTAGATATTGAAATAAAACTACATAAAAACATATTTAAGAGAATAGGTACCTTACGAGGAGTAGTGGGATGTATTTGTCCAGTTGGAGTCTAGTTGCCTGTTAGATGCAACAATTTACATTGTTCCGCTAATTGTTGCAACTGTTAGAGCTGTAACCAACCTATATTGAGTTCTCAAGCGTAACAAAGGTACAGATTTCCCTCTCATATTATCGTTATATTACGTTACATTACGTTGGACAAAATTGAGAGTCTAGAGCCATCTAGCAAAAAATGCTGTTAAGGCATGATATGAATATGCATGCAATTAAGATGGTGTACACTCAATATACTTAAACTCTGAAAAAAAACCTTAGCATTTGTCAAGTAACAACGCAAAAAACGGTCCATGGGTTATAATCTATTTAAACATTAGTTGTAATGTTGTAGGCTGTGAAAACAAACAACTTATTTTTTAACCAGGTAAAATTGTGATTACTACTTGTGGTTTTACATTTCCAAGCCAGAAATTAGCACTTTTAATCTGCATTGCGCACAGAGCTACAGACACTATCATTAAATAAGAAACCAAATTTATTCTCTTCGGAAACGTCTAGGATTTAAGGACTCCTCGTTTCGCCGGTCACGCTGCGCACGTTTACCCATAAATCTACCGCTGCCTGTCAATTATAAACAGTGAACTATTGTTTGTAGATGACCAAGGCCAAGCTTGCCTTAAATGCCAGTGATAATGGGAATGGTGCAGCTCTGTCAGGAACAAAACATCCGCAGAAAGAAAATCTTTGGTTAGCCTTTTTTCTATAGATGACTGAGGCAATCACCTTTTTATCACTAAATTAGTCTTGCTAAAAGTGAAACCGTAACACACGTGTGGTAAGAGTATTATTTATCACAAACCTTCTCCTAAAACATGCAACTAAAACAAGACCAAGGTTATTTAGCGATTAGATTATCATATTTGGATAATGCGTGAATGTAAGTCGTGATGAACCGTGTTGAAGGAAAACAGAACGTGGAAATGCTGAGAGACCATGAACTAAATAGATAATTTTACAATGTACCGTGTATTTTCATAGTATCTAAAATTAAAACAGTAGTTATTGAATAATTAATATATTGAAATATAATTAATAGATAACCAAAGCCAAATAGATAACAAAGTTTAAATTGATCTCAACATAAACTATCTTGGCTTCCATAATATTGCAATGAATACTTTTATTAATAATATCTGGAGTAGGTTATATTCATTCCAACAGTTTTCAATTCAATAGACTATTGTTATTCACAGCATTCCCAGTATCAATTTGTATTGTAGTTAAGTATTTTAATTTTTAGTTTTTATTTGATTGATAGTGTAATGATAATCCGTATGATTTGCTATCAAATAGGGTTTCTTCTTTACTAGAGCTATTTCACAAAGATATATTTTGTGGATTTAATATTTTTAATGCCTGAACCTTTAAACTGTGCTTTCAAAAGGACTGTGGGAAAGTAAAGATGTGATGAAACTGGAAAGTGAAGGCATGATGCGCTTCACTCATGGCCAGCATCCACAAGTTAACTTAAATAAAGTAAATTAGAAGTTTAAAGGATAACATTGCAAAATAATACTAGGAATAACGCTTTAAATATCTTGGTAACCTTTAAATAATGTCATAATTATTATTTTGTTAGATAACATCTGCTCGTACAATCTTTTCTTATTAATAAAAGTGTTGTGTTAGAGTAAACGAACTACGTCAAACGCTTACCGTTTAAAGCCAACAGCGTGGAATAATCATAGGTATGTTAATTAGATCACACTCACCATTGGAATTTATCTCATTTAATACTTCACGCCGTTAGGTTGGAGGAATGTGGAGGATACGTATAAGTGGAAACTGATAAGATTTTTTTTTAGTTTCTGTAAACACTTTCCAGCTTAACGCCTTTCCGTGGCCCTGAAGCCGGTTTTAAAATGTTACAGTTCCAGTTTTAGACTAATGGAAGATAAACCAGCCCAATAAAAGTTTTACTACCGCCGTGGTTGGCAATGCGTTCAGTTCACTCTCCCGCACTCTCCGAGACCAGGATCGGGGTTGGGGTTATAGCACGAGTTATGGTAAACAGTCTTTGTATACGTCATGACTCATTGAAGAATGTAAATTTATTCGTTAAAACTATATATCAATCTAATGAATTAGATTAGATTAATTATGATTACATAGGAGATGATTCACCTCATAGCCAGGTCTATACATATTGTAAGAAGCAATATATTATAACATTAGTACCCTTTGTATGTATTATGGACGGAATAACTTCATCAAACATAAAAATGCCCTTTTTTGAGACACATGCTTTTATTGTGTAACGTTGGAAGTGTCAGTTATGTACGAGTTCTACTCATGTTATAGCTCATACGCAACTGGGTATGTGGGTAAATACTCTTGTTTACAACACAGTGTGGCTCAGCACTAAATATTTACAATGAAAACCAGATTTTAAATAATGTTAAACAATGTTAAACGTAATACCCAATGAATGTCTAAAGACAGGACAGGGGTTGTTTACCCTGGCTGCTTGCTTCCGCTCTGGCCTTCCGCAGTTGATTAAGTTTTGCTTTTGTGTAAACATCATACATATAATGTATTTAGTATATACATTTTGAGTGATTGATTGAGCCATCTAATGAACAATTAATATTAGAACTTCAAATAAAGCAAGACTATTTTATGAACAGATTTTAGCGAATTTCCCTATAGGGAAGTAGCTATTGCCGTAGGTCTCATGTTAAGACCTAGGCCCGGGACCGATTTACTTTTTCATTTTGATGTCCCCAGAGGCCAAAAACACCATTCGTTCAAATTTTTATATATCTATATATATGTGTCCATCTAACTTGAGTATATATATATATATATATATATAATAGATAACTTGAGTAAATTTTGTCCGATTTTGATAAAATTTGGTTTGAAGGTGTAAGGCAGGATAAACTTGAATGAGTTCGCGAACCACCATGATCGGACTATGGGAACGGGGGTTTAAGGGGGGTTTTATGGGGTAAAAATAGGCTTTTCCCATTTTTGACCCTAAAAACACAAAATTTCACAATTTCTTTTTAAACCATTTTGTAGAGCTTAAAAAAACAAATAATTTAGTATATTGAAGCGTTATTATGCGCCTAATTGTTACGGAGAAAATTTAAAAAAATTGTAATTTTAAAATTCTCATGTTATTCTTATGGAGAATAAGTCAGTTTGCTTGTTTATGAACATATTTTGACCAAATTTGGAAAATACATTAATTTCTTACCAAACCACAGTACCTTTTAACATTTTACATTTATACAACTTTTTTACCCTCCCTGTTGCAGCAAACCTAAGTACTCTTAAACTATAAGGAGACATTTTAGTTTAAATCCAATCAGGCAAATGGAAATTCGCTTAGTCTGCAGGATTGCTGTGGCGGGGGTATTAAGTTAAATGTTGCTCAAGTTTGGCAACATATTATGTAGCCTAAATTATTAAGGCTGAATAAATTATAAAACATTTAAAATGGTTATAATGTCTTTATTCAAATAATAACTACAAAAATTACATTCAAGTAACAATAAGGGTACAGGTTTTACAAAGACATATCGTTAAGAAATTTCTACTTACAGTCTTTGAATTACGTATTTCGAAGTAAATTATTTTCAAACGACGAATTTAAGAAATGTTGGTAAGCAGCTACGTTTGCTTACTGTTACCGTCATCTTTGGTTCAGAAGAGTTTATAAATTAACCAAACGATACCCTAAAATGAAGTTAGTTTATAGAGTTAACTAAGAAATAAAAAGCTTCATAGAGTTTATTTGGCACGAATAAACAAAATACTCAGCGTTGTAAAACAAAAAAAAGATGAAAACTACTGTAAATTTGATTTCTTAATTTTTAGAGTTAAAACACAAGTTATAGATCGAAAGGTTTCTGATTGAGAACAATGGTACATAATGGTTATGACTAGAAAAACAGAAGTGTAGTTCAACATTTAATAAAATTGTACGAATGTTAAAATTAGTTAGCTACGTCAGATATTTTTTTCAACTAACTCCAAAGTTTATTGGATTGGGTGAAACTGTGAAACTCACTGTTAAAATGTATTTCCGTAAACATCCAGAAGGGAATCAAAGTTGATCTCGTGTTCTATTTACAGCTATAAAAAGGTTTGCCAGGTTCGGGGAGGTTAGTGTCAGATAGTCTGTGGGGTTGAACCCTAGTTGGTCCAGCGCAGGGGCCAAGCGAGGAAGGTCCTGGAGGAGATCAGCGGGTAACTCGTCCTGCCAACTGGTGAGGAAACTCTGATCCGCCTGGGACCTGCAACATTTATGGCGGCGGCATTGAAGAATATGTCTTTAACCATATACTTGTTACTAGGAAAAACATGTAGTATATTGAAACAGGTATCCTAATGTAGTTCAAATCTTAAAACCATATCTCTCCATATCCAAGAGAGTAAATAAATAAGTTGTACTTCAATTTTGTTCCCCGAGCTAATTCCTTCAGATTCTTCTTTTCATTACTTCCACAGAAGAATTCTAGGAAAACTTTGTTGAACAATAATAAATTACCTGGATTTCCTATCGGTGTTAGACTTTAAGACATTATCGTCCCAAGTGACATCTAGATACGCCAGTATCTCTCGCAACACAGACCGTGGTCTCAGCAAGAGCTGCTCGTAGCTGACCGCTCTACAGCGTTCTGGACCGACCTGGCGACACTGGTCCAGCATAGACATCGTCGCGTTGTTCCACTGTTCCATCATAGTAGAGGTCAGGTCTCTCAGGTTACCCTCCATATCTGGATCCATGCTTTTGAAACTCCATCCCCTGGCTTGTAACTGGAAAAATTATAAACTTATTAACAATCGCCTGTAATCACACTTTTGTAGAATCATGGAATGAGTTGTATAATACTGACAGTGACTGGCATAATCTTTTTTGGAAATTCGAGAACCTTTTTGCAGTACTTTCTAAACATATATCAGGTAATTAGGTGAGTTGGTGGGGCGACTGACTTCGGATCCATGGCAGCGATGCCTTGGGTTCGGATCCTGGTACCTACCACTACAGTTTATTAGTAAAGTTCAGTACTATACTGGATCATCTCTTACTTTGCTTGATATGTTCCAAGCACATGCCTATGCGGAAGTGTAAATACAAGGTTAAAAGAAATCGCCTACCTGTTAAAAACCCCTTATCTCAACTGTATTACATTTCACACAGAGCAATGGCCAAATTGCTCAAATCAAATCGCTCAAATGTATTTCAAAATCCTTTGTCTAGCACTCTATTAGCCAATGTTAAAATAATTATATTTTCAGCCAAATTTGGCGAATTTACTTTCGTAAATACGCGAGAGAAAACTACTAAATGAGAAAACGTCGACATTTAAAGTTGTAAACACCTTGCCTGCCGGGAAATTAGAGAATGGACGAGAGCTCTGCCGTCCCTGACGACCCACAGGAACCTGGCCCGAGGGAAGATCTGTGAGAGGTGGAGGGCATGATGAAGTGTGAGAGGATCCTGACTGCAGAGATGCGGGGAGAGCTCTCCGCTGAGGACTAGCACATCTAGCAGCAATGAGGAAACTGCTGATTGTAGCACCTGCACAGTAAGTAGTATAGGAAAATATCATAGTACACACGAGGATGAGTTTGTAAATTTTCATTAAAAATACTTTATTTTGGTGTAATTTCCCGTAACTCCCCACTTAATAGTTGACTCACACTTCTGTATCTCACATGACTGCCATTAGCGAGTGTGCTAAGAAATATCACACTCACACAAGATCTGAAAAAAATTTGCAAGGAACATAAATAAGCTAACCGATACAACAGTTTTGACAATTGATTTTGCCCATAAAATGCATATATTTATTCTATATTTTCTGCAATATTAAGGTTAATCAGTTAAACGTTTGGTGTTCTAGCTACACTTTAACTAGAATATTGATTACTCATTTATTCACCTCTGCAGTAACGCCTGCTTCCTCGAGCCTCGAGTGTTCCTTGTGGTCGGCGGTCCAGTGCTTGTACATCCTCAAGACCCGTGGGATGATCCTTGTCTCACTGCGGCATCTGATAAAGAAAGTGTTCATTAAGTATATGGTACTGTTTATGTGTCGGATAGTGAACGGTTCACATTGAAATAATCCTACAAATAAAACAATGAATCGTTGTACAACTAAGTAAAGACAAAGATGAGTAGGGAATGAATAAAAGATAGGATTGTATCATCACTGGAAAAGATTAGCTGATTATTGTGACCTGTCAACACTTCCTGTACAGTGTAAAATGATGAAATCGAACCGCGAAACCTGATAGTCTTGAATAATTTGTGTTGAGCATGCTAACAAAACTTTATCAGGGGTGAAAACTGTGACCAACGAGTAAAAACAAAGACAACAAATATAGTTAGTAATACTATAGTTTGTTAGTAAGTCAAGACGGTAGTCTTCGTATAGCTATAGTTAGCAAGTCAGGACTGTCTACACGTGGACTATAGATAGTAAGTCAAGTTACCTTATGTCAGGATGGTCGTCAAGATAAAGTTTGAGAAGCGATGATCCAGACCCAGGCACGCCCCCGAGAAATATCAATGGTAGCATTCTGTCATACTGTAGCCTAGGCGATCTCTGGAAAATATCAATCAATGAGACTATTAGTGTTTATTTGTCCCTGGAGAAGTATTATGGATCACGTACCAAGGGCAGGAGATGGATGAATGTGCTTAAAACTAAATTATTCTATTGTCCATTAGGATATAAAATCGCTATATCTTAATACTCATGTTTTGTGTAGTTACAAATGACAAAAACAAAAAATATATCGATGTTATTTATCTATAATTCTTGTATATTTTCTTAATGAGGAATATGTGTCGTAAGTAGGCCTATCAATTTAAATATGTAAAATGAAGTGGTTACTGACATGACGTTGTATTTTCTAATTACTGTTTTCAATGCCGAACGGTTTGCGGAATCTGAACGTATTATCTACCTGATAGGGCGACCGGTGTGTGGAGTAGCAGCGGCGAAACTTGAACGCTATCACCAAGGTCACGGTCAGAAGTGTTATCAGTAGAGTGACCTTACCCCGACGTCTCAAGGTCAACCAGGTGCGGCTTCTCACCTAGATAAATAAGAACTTTAAAAAAATCATCTTAAATGTAAACACGATAATGCCTTGCTAGAAAATCTTAAAAATTGTTAAGAATGTAAACAAACTGTATTTTATGGTAAAATGAAGCTGTAAGATTTGAAATATTTTACAGAAACTGTTAAAGTACGATTTTAAGGAAATTGTCATTTCTGGGAATACATTAATTGGAACATGCAATTCCATTGTTACATGTAAATGTTTAATAATGCACTCTGTTTTTTTTTTGGGATAGCAGCAATAGCGGAGTGTCAAAAAATGCATGGAAACTAAACATTTTTGAAGGATATTGTATCTACGTGACAACAGCTATTTATTTAATTAGTCTTAGCGTTCGAAAAATAAAAGAATATTAAGAGTAAATCTCAAATCTTTATCTAATATCTTGATCTTTATTTAATATTAAACCTCATATAAGTGGTTTTTGTCCTGCTTAAGTGAAATCATTTTATATGGTGTGTAATTAGGTAAAACTTGGTAAAACCGTCCTTTTTATTCGTTGAGAGTTTACTTTATAAACAGTCACGTTCAACAATTTCAAATAAATTATTAGTGTACCGGTTATTGATTTCAAAATACGAAAGTTTATCCATGCAAATCTTAACGAACGATTCCCCGTACGCATATTACTATTTCAAAGGATATCATATACTTAAAATAAACTATTTATAATAAATTGTAATATATATTTAATTTAAATATTATTAATCTTAGCTCTTTACATAAACATTGAGACAACTTAGATAAATTTGAAATGGGTTAAACGGAATGAAAACGCTAACTTAATTTTTTTACTTAAAAATATAAAAAAATATCTAACTCTGGGCTTGATCGACAATTTATTAGGAGGTGGTTAACAGGAATAAGTTAAAAGTTTTAAACTGTAAGTAGGGTAATATAATCGTAATATATGCATTTGCAGCTGGATAAATGTTTTTGGTTTTTTTTCTTTTGAAAATTGATCAGTAGGGACAGTTTTTGATATTCAAACTAATTATTAAAAACCTTCATAGTAATTGCTTAATGAACAAATACCTGTACGAACCTATTTCAATTTTAATCCCAAAGCTGTTTTCTAAGAGTGTCCGTTGAGGTTATTCCACTTCATACAAAATATTGATTAAACACTACAATACATTTCAAATATAAATGATTGTAAATTTACAAAAACATGAAGAATAAATTTTCAATCTATGTTTTAAAATCAAAACAAAGCAGAAGTTTTCCATTTAATCTTGAATCGTTTATTATTTAGTCAATGTAGTTATTTAAATTCCTTCAATACAACAATAACCTTCAAATTAGAAGAAAAAACTTCATTATTTTTTTAGCCATTCTGAGTGCTATTCCTTTGATTTAAGCTGTAATAGGTTACTATAACTGACTATAACTGATAATAGAATATAGGCCCATATCCTATGATTCTAATACTTATCATACGCTTAACAAATTTACGTTAAAACACACAAGTTTGCAAATTACACAGTAAAACAATCGATTTCAACTTCCTAAGACGTTACTAAAAGTCTGAATTATTATAGGTAACGTTATCCCTGGTTTTATATAGTATACAGTATCTATATATTAATTTGAAACTGTTTTTCTTTGTCACAGCTATTTTGAGAGAACGGCTGGGCGTAGAAACTCGGTAGAGGTGTCTAAAGAAAGGTCTTGGGTTGTAGATGAGCCATCAAAAGAGAAACATGGTGAATTCCCTTGGGGCTCTGCCCCAGTGGCCTTTAAATCCCTATCCCATGTTATTCTTATGGAGGAAAACGGGGTTTTTGTCATAGCTAATTTGAGAGAACGGCTGGGCGTAGAAACTTTGTAGGGGTATCTAAAGAAAGGTCTTGGTCTGTAGATGAGCCATCAAAAGAGGAACGAGGTAAATTCCCTTGGGGCTCTGCCCCAGAAGCCTTTAAAGTTGCCTCTTCAGATTTGTTTACATTACGACCATATTCAAAATTCTACACTACTTTTTAATGAAACAGCTGTTAATATTTAAATTGTGATTTATTGAATTTTTCAAAATGAAGTACAGTATTTGCAATGGGTTTTTCTGATTTTAAAATCGATTTTATTCTGCATTGTGTCATGTTTTGCAATATAATGTTCTATTACCAAATCAGTGGAAAATCCTATTATCACAGTAACTCTTTTCTTTTGGAGTTAACTGATATCTATTGTATGGGTTGGTTTCTGCCTTTTTTTACCACTTCTTGGAGATTGTACGTAGGTGATATTCGTTGGCATATTGCATCTGTAGACGAAACTTAGGTTGGTGTATAGAATGGAAAAGAGAGAGAAATCCTGGACAATTTGATATAGGCTAAAAATAAAACTGAATCAACACTGTTCTACATCTATTGAGCAATCATTTAAATAACCGATTTGCAAACAATAGAAGCATAGAAAAAGTCATAGAACACAACCAAGTAGAAGAAATAGAAATAATGTTTTTTTTTTCATTTATAATCGTTAACATAGACAACCTAATACGACTATGAGAGGGGAAAATTTGTAGAAAACACTAAAAAAAACAAGATCAGCTTTTTGAAAAAAGATAAGATATTTATAAAAGATTTTGATTATATCTAACTGTTGTATACATTGTGAGTATTTCCATAATCTTTGAGTCACCTGTAATGCAATTGCTCGAATTCGAGCAACAGGTACACTAGTATTAGCTGAATTGAGAATTGGCTGACAATGAGTAATTCACATGTAATATTGCTTACTGGCTTAAAATAATATATCAAGATCAGCTGTATTGAAGTAAACAAAAATTAGCAGTAAATGGTTTCTTATGCTTGTTTTATCTATGATTTTACGTTATCTAATTTGGGAAATTTCACTATTTTTCCCGCCGTCACGACATCAAGAACTATAATTTGAGCCCTCTCGCGTCATTCTACGACTTCCCAGTCACCCACAATAAATTTTGACGCAAAGAATCGGCTTACGTAATTAATATACAGATATTCAAATGATTATTCTTGAAAGGACTTGTTCAATCAGCCATCATTAATATTTTGAAATTGGTGTCAATACTTACGACCACATCCAAAAGAAATGACCCTAACATTAATTTAATGCTATACTGTACTAATTTTACCTTATCAAAGTACGTGTAAATGAAATTAAAAAAACTAGTGGGATGTTAATGGGGTTTATGTTTTTATCCCCATAATCTTATATAGAAAGAATAACGATTGCTAATTGTGAAATTCCACTCCAAAAAAATCAACTTTACATACCCTACCACATTTGGCAAATTATAAATATAGTACATGCAATGAGTGAAAAGATTTCATTTGCCATACACGCAACGTCCTTTTTACAAATCATAATTTGACCGTTTTTAAGTTAGCCCATATAGAAAGTTACGTGATTACTGCTATAAATTAATTATTGTGTGTATAACCACGCAATTATTATTGCATGTGTATTCTCATCCTTAATGTTTTATATAATATGCTTAATTAAAAACAGCTTAATGGAAAATAAAGATTTTAATTTTCTTACTTAATTACATTTTACTTCTTTAATCTTTACAAACACTCGTACTTACAGTATAAAGATAGATGATAGATGTATTATCACTAGTCATTCGTAAATAGTTTTTCATTATATTTATTAAGATATTATTATTAACTATATTAATAATAACAATCTATTTATTATTGCAAGTATACAACGGCAATATCCAAGGTAAATACAATCACGTAAATACAGAGGACAGAATTTAGGATTCCAACTCTTTTCATAATAAAAGAAAAGATAAAATTGCGTACCATTTATCCCATTATTTTTTTGCGTCCCATTAATTTTGTGGAGTTAAATTTTGTCTACATTTTGTTATTATGATTGGAGTGCTATAAAACCCATTGTATAGTTATACCAAAGCTTTAAATATACAAACGCGTATTTAAAGCGTAGGTTACCCATTTATATGGACCTAGAATTTCCCATTTAGCCACTCAATTGGGAACATGAATAAAATTTAGCAAGAATATTTACTTTTAAAGATAATAATGAGGCATAATGTGACTTTTTTGCAGTTATCAGTAGTGTTGAATGATGTTTGAATCGAATGTAGTAAAATAACCTTAGCTTCATCTGTTTGATTATAATAGCGACTTTCACTAATATATACAAAAACTCAAATGTAAAATTGCACGGATTTTGCAAAGTAAAAAATGTATGTCGGTAAAAACAGTAAACTATTGTTTTTACTACTTCTCTAATAAATCATCTTACGAAAAATTTTCAAGAACTTCATTATGCTGGAGGTATAGTACGCTAATCTATCTATATACTTATTTAATACGCAAGCAGGATTTTTGTGACAATTACTCCTCCGAAACTACTGAACCGATTGACATGTTTTTGGTGTCATTGGAAAGAGCGTAACGTGAAGTTGTGCAGGAAACTTTCTTTTTAGGGAAATAATTAGAGAGTGAGGCCCTGGGGCCCCTTAAAGTTTCGTATTTCTCCATAAGATTAACATGGGAAAGGAGAACATTATAGTGAGAAGAACATATGTTAATTGTAAACAGTCAATGTGTAAATGATCTATGTTGTATTAAAAATGTGTATAGTTGTAGATGTTGGTTTGTGTTTAATGATATAAGTCATTAGTTATTGAATTTTTATTTTAAAGGATTTGGCATACGAGTAAGCCTATGATAAATAACACCATTTCAGAGTTCTGCCGGTTTTTGCCTAACTCTGTCCTGTAGAGTCTACTATACAGGGTGTCACAAAAAAGTGTGATGGGCTATACAGGACCTAATTCTACATGCAAAAATAAGTCAAAAATGAAGAATAAAATTTTTTGGATTTCGGCTTAGTTTAGCCGTAATCCGCCATTTTGTTTTTTGGGGAAAATATTTATTATTTCAAAATCCCTTTGAGATATTTTTACGAAACTTGGCAAAATTGTTTACACTATAGTAAGTAACATTTATAAAAAAAATTATTATTTTAACTTTCCAAATTTCAAAATCGCGGCCGTTTGAATTTTTTAATGCCAAATTTCATGAAAACCGGTACCTAAATCAACATTTTGTAAAGGACAAAAGTTTTATTATTTATTATGACAAATCCAACAAAACAAAAATGAATGAAATCGGTTCATAAATAAAGAAGCTGTGTTTATTTTAGTAATTTAGACTGAAATTATTAATATTAAAATGTATTAAATGTAATGTAATAATTTATGTAATGTATTATGTAATTTCAGTTTAAATTACTAAAATAAACACAGCTTCTTTATTTATGAACAGATTTTATTCATTTTTGTTTTGTTGGATTTGTCATAATAAATACTAAAACTTTTGTCCTTTACAAAATGTTGATTTAGGTACCGGTTTTCATGAAATTTGGCATTAAAAAATGTCAAACGGCCGCCATTTTGAAATTTGGAAAGTTAAAATAATAATTTTTTTTATAAATGTTACTTACTATAGTGTAAACAATTTTGCCAAGTTTCGTAAAAATATATTAAAGGGATTTTGAAATAATAAATATTTTCCCCAAAAAACAAAATGGTGGATTACGGCTAAACTAAGCCGAAATCCAAAAAAATTTTATTCTTCATTTTTGACTTATTTTTGCATGTAGAATTAGGTCCTGTATAGCCCATCACACTTTTTTGTGACACCCTGTATAAAGTAGCCTACACCTTATTGTCTACAAATTGGCTAAATAATTTAGGTACGGTACGGTACTTCATATAAGCTGGCAGCCTTTTTACGTTGACTTAAATTGTAAGCTTACCTTTTCCCGTCCATGGGCAGTTTGATTGTTAAAAATTAACCCTTTAAATTGGAATAGGACTGTTATGTAAATTGTGAGCATTTCCATTAGTTAATAATCTTATAGTTGACTCTTTTAAAATCATCGGAAATTATGACTGTTATTAGTTTTTAAACAAGTTATTTGTTTATAAATAACTCCTGTACTTCTTTGCACTTGCTCGATTTCGAGCAACAGGGACACTAGTACTTATTTAATACGCAAGCAGGTTTTTTGTGACAATTACTCCTCCGAAACTACTGAACCAATTGACATGTTTTTGGTGTCATTGGAAAGAGCGTAACGTGAAGTTGTGCAGGAAACTTTCTTTTTAGGGAAATAATTAGAGAGTGAGGCCCTGGAGCCCTTTAAAGTTTCGTATTTCTCCATCAGATTAACATGGGATTAACAAATATTGTTATGAAACTCCAGCTGATGCCAGAAATTAAAAGTGAGAAGAAGAGCATATGTCAATATTGTAAACAGTCAATAAGTCTGCTAATTTAACAGTTTGCTACAAACATTTACTTACTTGGTTGAAATGAAATATTTAATACTGTATTTGAATTTAGGTTGGCGTAATTATTACAATATAAAAAAGCAAAAGAGCCTGGATAAATTGATATACTAAGAAGAAAACTGAATTAACACTGACTGTGCTGTATTTCTTAGTAATCATTGAAAGAGCCGATTTGCAAACTATGGAAACATAGGAAAGTCATAGAAACCCACCAACGAGAGGAAATATAAAATTTTTTTAAATATTTATAATCGTTATTATGGACAACCTAATGCGGCTATGAGTTAGGCTATTTGTAGAAAACACTAAAAAACCAGACCAGATTTTGAAATATGATAAGATATTTACAAGAAATGTTGATTATATCGATCTGTTATGTACATCTTGAGTATTTCCATACTATTTGAGTTGAATCTTAGTCATCAGAAATTATGAGTGTTATTCGTTTTAAAATAACGCCTGTAATACTTAGCAATTGCTCGAATTCGAGCAACAGGTACACTAGTTTGAATAAATATTGGCAAACATATTTACAATTAGAATTGTATAAAATATATTTACATGCAAGTAAGCATTATTCGAAAGAAAATAATTGTATTGAATGATGGTTATCACTTAAATAGATAAGTTTTAAATTAATTAAATATTTCATACGTTAACATAATATATCCTAGAAAAATCCCCCTGCAAATATTTGTTTAACATTATACTTTTGGTCTGTGATTAAAACTTTAGTAACATTTATATTAGTTACTTCTCGATGATATTTTTATATAATAATTAATATTTTCACCTTGACTTTGTATCCCCCACATTGGTGGCAGGGCACAACCTCACTTCCTCCCATTTCTTCACATGTTCACATTATTGTAGACACTAACAATAACTAATTATTCTCCAACATGTATATGCGACTCTGTATCCGTGATGTTACGAATAACAGACTGGCTGCTCACACACCTCCGTACTCCTCAGTGACGCGCGGGCAACTGACACAAACACAACATACAACTACTGTGAACGTGTACAGAACACCGAACTGAGCGACTCAACGACTCTCAGCCGTGAGCTGTGACTCACACACCTCAGTGTCGCACGGACAACTCACACGACACACAGTCGCACGGACAACTCACACGACACACAACTACTGTGAACAGAACACTGATCACTGAACAGAGCGACTCAACGACTCTCAGCCGTGAGCTGTGACTCACACACCTCAGTGTCGCACGGACAACTCACACGACACACAACTACTGTGAACAGAACACTGATCACTGAACAGAGCGACTCAACGACTCTCGGCTCTGAACTGTGACTCACACACCTCAGTGTTGTGCGGGCAACTGACATGACACACAACACACAACTACTGTGGTGAACAGAACACTGAACACTGAACTGAGCGACTCAACGACTCTCGGCTCTGAACTGTGACTCACACACCTCAGTGTCGCACGGAGAACTGTCACGACACACAACACACAACTACTGTGGTGAGCAGAACACTGAACACTGAACTGAGCGACTCAACGACTCTCGGCTCTGAGCTTTGACTCACACACCTCAGTGTTGTGCGGGCAACTGACATGACACACAACACACAACTACTGTGGTGAGCAGAACACTGAACACTGAACTGAGCGACTCAACGACTCTCGGCTCTGAGCTTTGACTCACACACCTCAGTGTTGTGCGGGCAACTGACATGACACACAACACACAACTACTGTGGTGAGCAGAACACTGAACACTGAACTGAGCGACTCAACGACTCTCGGCTCTGAGCTTTGACTCACACACCTCAGTGTTGTGCGGGCAACTGACATGACACACAACACACAACTACTGTGGTGAGCAGAACACTGAACACTGAACTGAGCGACTCAACGACTCTCGGCTCTGAGCTTTGACTCACACACCTCAGTGTTGTGCGGGCAACTGACATGACACACAACACACAACTACTGTGGTGAGCAGAACACTGAACACTGAACTGAGCGACTCAACGACTCTCGGCTCTGAGCTTTGACTCACACACCTCAGTGTTGTGCGGGCAACTGACATGACACACAACACACAACTACTGTGGTGAGCAGAACACTGAACACTGAACTGAGCGACTCAACGACTCTCGGCTCTGAGCTTTGACTCACACACCTCAGTGTTGTGCGGGCAACTGACATGACACACAACACACAACTACTGTGGTGAGCAGAACACTGAACACTGAACTGAGCGACTCAACGACTCTCGGCTCTGAGCTTTGACTCACACACCTCAGTGTTGTGCGGGCAACTGACATGACACACAACACACAACTACTGTGGTGAGCAGAACACTGAACACTGAACTGAGCGACTCAACGACTCTCGGCTCTGAGCTTTGACTCACACACCTCAGTGTTGTGCGGGCAACTGACATGACACACAACACACAACTACTGTGGTGAGCAGAACACTGAACACTGAACTGAGGGACTCAACGACTCTCGGCTCTGAGCTTTGACTCACACACCTCAGTGTTGTGCGGGCAACTGACATGACACACAACACACAACTACTGTGGTGAGCAGAACACTGAACACTGAACTGAGCGACTCAACGACTAGTAGTTATGTAAAGGTCTGTTTGAGCGCAGGGTGAGGGTGAGAGCAGTCCTAGAACGGGATAAAAGTCCTAGAACGGGATAAAGTCCTAGAACGGGCTCCTCAAAATCCGACACTCAGAGAGCGGTCTTCTGCAGTTCCTTTTCATAGGGGATAAAAGTCCTAGAACGGGATAAAAGTCCTAGAACGGGCTCCTCAAAGTCCGACACTCAGAGAGCGGTCTTCTGCAGTTCCTTTTCATAGAATCCGCCTATAATTTCTTCGCCATTTTGATCGGCGATCCTATAAGTAACCGGTCTAGTGTTTAGAATTCGTGCTATTGTAAATATCTCCGAAGTCCAGTTTTGTTTATATTTATTCGCAAACACGTCTTTTTTCGTTGTGATACGAACTCTATCACCAAGGTCGAACTTGCTGTTTTTACGAATTTTGTGTTCGCGCTCAATGTACATTTTTAATAGATCAGCCTCGTTATCTTTGTTGACCTCTACTGGTCTCATTTTAATAGTGTGGTGATAATCGTGTTGGTTATACTCATCTGTGACTTCTTGTAGTATATCGTACCACTTGTGGGATTGTCGGACTTGGAATTTCACTTTAAGTTTCTCATTCAATGTCCTATGATATCTTTCAATTATTGCAGACTTCTCTTCACTCTCTGTATGGTATAGTTTGATATTATACCTCCTCAACATGTTGTTGAACGGTTTATTTTTAAACTCTGTACCTTTGTCGGTATGTAAAAGCTTCGGTGCCTTATGACCATCACTGTTTGCTCTTTTTATAATCTTCTCGAAAGCTGTTGTCAACTCTGCCCCGTCTTTTTTCTTTAAAGGTTCGGACCAAACGAATTTGCTAAATGTATCTATGACATTTAAAATGTACTTGTACCACTTGTTCTCCCTAGCGTACTGCTTCATTATTAGTAAATCTGCAGCCCACAAATCGTCGATACCCTTGGTGACTATTCGGCGTTTAATGAACTTTTTAATAACCGGCCTGTGCAACTCCTTGGCTTCTAGGTAAAGTAATTTGTCATAAAAATCAGTTAGAGCTAGGGCAACGAGCCATACTCGAGCTTCAGAGACTGCAGAGGAACACCAGGCCGGGCTTTTAGCTGATTCGATCAGACATGCCTCCCATAGAGAATCTGAAACCCCCAATGAACGCCACGTTAGGCTTTTAGCTGCAGGCACACCTCACATAGAACCTCAGAGACATCTGATGAACGTAACATTCTAGTACCAGCCAACACAAGTAGAACTGCGTCACATAGAACTGCTGAAACACCTGAAGAGTACCAATAGTTGAATTGCATCACAAAGAGCCGCTTAAATGTCTGATGAACAGCATCAGGCTGGGGTGGTGGCCAACAGTAACAGAATGGCTTTACAAAGAGCTGCACAAGTACAAGAGGAAATCCCTGCTATTATACAGGAAAGACAACGACGGAGATAAGACTTCATGAGTATGATGTGGAACCCATTTAATGGTATAGCTTTTCGATATGATCTGTTCATTGATTATATCAATCACAGTTTTTTTTGTATAGGCAGAATGAGCCAAACATGTAGATATTGTGATACAGTAAAATGGGAGCTAATAGGGATGTGTTGTTCAAATGGAAAAGTAAGGCTTACTTTACCTGCTGAGCCAATTGAGCCACTAAAGACCCTTGTCGTTGGAGAAACAGCAGAATCCAGGTGTTTTTATACTAAATTTGGAAATATAACTCATGCTTCCAAATGACCTCATTTGGTACTTTTGGCCAAGTTGTATAACATGACTATCCCACAACGTTCACTGTGCAGGGGCAAATATAACATAGAATTGGCTTATTACTCCCACAACCCGATCAGCCTCATGGCTTCCTACAAATATTCTTCATTGGTGGTCGACAAGCTGAGGCTATAAGGTGCTGTGACAACATCCTAAAACATAGTACAAAGCCTTCAACGCATTTTTTATGGCAACAATATTTTAATTGCGTCCTTTAAAACCGCATTAGATCAGTGGCCGTCAGATGGTTTTAAAGCCATTATGCGTGCTGACTGCTGTCCAGCTGGGGAGCATGAGTGATGATTCGACGCTTCGACTGTTGATGAAGTGGCAGTGGTCATTGTTGGCAATAAGTTTCACCCACGAGATATTGTGCTGTGCCAAAGAGATGACACTTTTGGTTAGAGTATCTGAAACTCATTGCTTCTATGATGTTTTGCAATACCTTCCATGTTTTAGAGTGATCAGGAAAGCTACCATTTCAACATTCAACAGAGTAATCCCACAACCAAGCATCCTACAACTAAAAAGCGACTGCAATACAGTTTTATGTGTCATAATGGTTTGTCAAAACCACTTCAACCCAATCATTCACTACAGATAACGGTTTAGTCGGTTTATTGTAGACATGTGTGCTAGAATTGAAATACCAACAATGAAACAGTATGCTCTAATGATCTTGGTCAAATAGTGATGGAAAGTGTACAAAGATATATCCCAGATAGATTATGACTGAGATATAGCTATAATGGGTACCCTTTGTACAGAAAGTGATCAACAAATTACGGTGGACATTATTCTCAAATAAATGTATCAGGATGAGGATCTGTGGATATTGACAACTGTTGGATTGTACCATACAACCCAGTTTTGACAAAAATTTTCAACGCCCATATTAACATGGAGTACTGCAGTTCAGTGAAGAGCATAAAATACATATGCAAATATGTAAACAAGGGAAGCGACCAAGCTGTTGAGGGAAGCTGCACCAGAGATGAGGTAACTCTTTACCAATCAGGACGTTACTTGAGTTGTAATGAGGCAGAATGGTGTATCTTTGGGTTTCTAGTTCATGAAATCCCACTGTTACTTATCCGAGTGTTCACTTTGAGAACTTCCAGAGGGTTTACTTCAACGACAACAGCCTACATTACGTTTTACAAAACCCAAGAGATACTAAATTTACTGCATTTTTTGAGCTGTGTACTAATGATGAATTTGCTAGGACCCTTTTTTGCAATGAAGTACCCCACTACTACACCTGGAACGCTTCACGAAAAGAGTTCCAGCGTTGCGGTATTGGCTTTCCAGTGGAGAATCAGCCTGATTTAAAGTATTCAGAAGCGCTAGGACGAGTACCACGGCCGTTAACTTCGAGTGCTACTGTTTACGTATGCTACCGTACTTCAAAGTGTATGTGGTCCTACTTGCTTTGATGACTCAAGAACTGTTGAAAGCCATACATACAATCCATATAGAGAAGTGTGTGAAGTCCATTCTTTGCTCGATCGTGATGACTGCTGTGAATCCACAATACGTGATGCTGTTCTGACTCGCTCTCCACAATGTATCAACGTGAGTCAACGTGA